ATCAGCCAGATAGTTAGAGAACTCTTGGCTCATATACTCGCCACCACGATCAGATCGAAGTGTCTTGATCGTCTTGCCAAGATTGTTCTGTACTTCGTTTCTGAAAGCCTTGAACATTTCAAGTGTTTCAGACTTATGTCTAATCAAATAGACATAACCGTATCGACTGAAATCATCAGTGAACGTAACGAAATACAGATAACCTCCTCTAGTTGGACAACTCATTGGTCCGCATACATCACTATGTGTGAGAGCCAATAACTCCGTCGCTCTCTGTCCTTTCCCCTTGAAAGGATGTTTTGCCATCTTGCCTATTAAACAAGACTCGCAAGATTCAAGAGACTCAAAGTCAAATGAATCCAGAAGACCTTCACGATGAAGCTTCTGAATGCGTTTCTCGTTTATATGGCCTAGACGACAATGCCAGAGGAAGGTCAGGTTTAAATCGTTCAACTTAAACCGTTTAGTACTCACGTTATAGATGGATGATGTCGAGTTCGAAGACTAATCATTCAAGACATATAAACCATTCACAAGATAACCATTACCATAGTAAATACTGTCTCGATAAATCATCAAACCGAGTTCTCAATCACAAATCGAAAACCATCCAAATCCAGACATGAAATAGAAATAATGTTTTTGCCAATCGCAGACACATAGTAACAATTACGTAATTCTAAAACAAGTCCAGAAGGAAGGTGCAAATCATAAACGCCAACACACAATGCAACAACTCTTGCTCCATTTCCGACGCGTAGATCCGCTTCTCCCTTTGCTACATCCTACTTCTTCTTAGTCCCTACACATTTTCACAAATGTGTGAGGCACTTCCGGTATCCAATACCCACGAAGATGTAGTACAGATGTTGGCTTCTATACCATGAATACCTGAGGCAGAAGCTTCACCAAGCTTCTTGTCCTTCAAATCCTCCAAGTAAAGGTGACAATTACGCTTTCAGTGTCTAGACACTCCGCAGTAATGACAGTCACCCTTATCGGGCTTAGGCTTAGACGTAGAGGCAACTTTTTTCTTTTTCGCCGCCTTCTTTTTGGCTTTACCCCGCCGCTTCTTGCTGGAGTTTTTCTCAACAGCAAGCACAGTCTTAGG